TGCTTTTAAATTGCCGATTATTATTTGATCTTGTAACATAACTTTATGTTAAAATTAAAAATGTAATTTTATATTATAAAATTGTTTGTCATTTGTAATTTATTATATACTGGAATGGATATATTATTATATATAATTGTTATTGCTGCTAAATAATTTTATCTAGAACGAAGAAGATTTATTATAAAAAATCCATTCCATTTTTTTAAATGTTATATCCAGACATTCTATCACTGACAACATTTTTATATTCTCATACATAAAGAAAAATTAATTCAATAAATTGATAGCTTAATGCAAAACTTCATACAACAACTTCATAGAACATAACATAATATAATAGAATAGAATTAATTAAAAAATTATAATCGTTTACAACGCAAACATATTTTTTTTGTTCATTATCATTCTTAAAGGTTAATCATTCTTAATAAAGGTGACCTTTTTATTATTTTATTATTATGTCGTTCAATAACAAATTATAAATTTTTCAGAACTCCTGGACCAAGTTTCTTTATGTCAAAAAATTCTCTATTAATTTTAATATATATGTTTCTTTAAATTAAAATATTGACATTTTACATTATATTTTATTTTAAAAAAATAACGAAAATATTTTATATCGTAAATTATAAGTGACGCGCTTCTCGTAGGCAGATAGAATAAGTTATACTGAATAGAAAATTTTATTTTTGTAATTATTAATAAGATATTATAAATATGAATTAATAAGATATTTATAAATATGAATGAGCGTGCATCTGTGCGAAGCAAAGAATATAGTATACATTGTAATACATAGGAACGTGACAAAGTTTGGAAGTTATTTACAAATGATAGAGCATTAATTAAAGTGTACATTGTATTTCTAGCAACAGTGAATACGCGTGAATATGTTAGGTGATCGTATCTCGCTTGATGAATCGGGCGGACAAGCGTTCATTCTAGTCATCTCTAGTCATTTAATTTCTCATAATCTATTGCGAAAATCACAAAATAAGACATTTCAGTTTGACCCGCTCTATCTGTGCACAAGCGACGTATAATTAATTATGAAATATAAATTCAAATATTATGTATATAAATTCAAAAATTATTAGGCACGTTTCAGTCACGACTAAATCCGTCTTGTACATTTCTACTATTTGATTTTATTTGTTTTCAAATTATATAATCATTTTTGTGATCTATTTTTGTAATCTATTTTTATTTGCTTTTTCTATAGCAGATGATAAAAATTTTACCTACAGTACCTCCTAAAATTGTCCAATTGTAATATATTTTTATCTTTGAATTTATCTTATTAAAAAATATTTTCTTTCATTCAAAATGTTTTATATTGCTAAAAATGATCGGGTAGGAATTTTTACTCTTGGAAAGGCATTGAATTATTGGACAATGATGTCGATTCTTGGGTGACCAAGAATCGACATCATTGTCCACTTTATCGGCATGCCCATTTTATCGGTGTACGTCTTTCTGTCTACCTGATTGGCGTGAAATATATCGACATACTAAGTGTTGCGAAAAAACAATGATAGAAACCTTTGTACCACCGCTTTGAAGTCACCATTTAGATACACTTTAAATCTGATCCAATAAATGCATGTGGCAAAAGTAAATATTACAAATTTGTACCAAGATTTGTATCAGAAAGATATATATCTAATAATTAGATAAGTCTGTGATAAAGATTTCTTTTCATTTTTTTAAACTCTTTTTCTTCTAGAAAAATATAATACGAAAATAGTTATATATACAAAAACGGATAGATTTAATACGAAAATATTTCATAATTACGATTAAAAATAAATATAATACATAAAGTTCATATTAATAAAAATAATTTTTAGTAACAAATAATAATAAATTCATAGTAATAAGTTTTATAGTATAAACAATTATAAAATTATAAAAAATATTTGAATAAAGACATTTTTATAATTCATCAAAGATAAAGGAAGAAAAAAAAGAGAAATGTTACTAAACAATATTTTAAACTCTAAGCTGAAATGTGTCAATAGAATCTTTAATTTTCATCAAAAATGAGAAAGAAATCACTTCGGTAAAAATTCTTCAAATTATGTTATTGATAAATCGCCACAATGTCGAGGATTTATCGTTAGAGAAAAGAGGCTTTAGGCAACCAAGCTTATTTAGTACACGTGTCCTTGCACTGAATTGCAGCGATCCTCCTATTTGCGACGATCAAACGACTAGGGCGAGCAAGAAAGAAAGAAGGAGAAAACTGAAATCAGAATAAAGGGTCTGCACACTTCGCCACGTGACTGCCGGTGGTACGACTTCAGGGTGCCATAATGCCAGAAAGCACAAAGCTTCACCGCTCTTTTTTCTTCTTTCATGCTCTCTCCGCTCCTCCCTCTCTTTCTCTTTCTCTCTCTCTTTACATTTGTTTTTATATGGAAACTGACCGCAGTTTAACGACAAGTCGTTGCACACAGTGCGGGATTTGTGGCAAAGAACTGCATTGTTGCGCACATTTCATTTTTCTTCATTCGATTTTCTTCATTTTTACAAAAAACTCAAATAAAGGAAAACTGTCATCGTATCATTGGTATCTTAAAAATCAACATTAATCTCATTTTGAACAACTAATGCATGATTGAAAATTTCTCTGCGATTTTTCTTCAGAGATACCCTAACTTTTCGTGAGATGCGAAAAAAATCGCAAGTTTTTCCAAACTTTTGGACGGTAGTGTGTATATATAAACACACACACACACACACACACACACACACACACACACACGAGTATTTCTCTTTGTATGCATATCTCTTCCATTTACTTTTCTATAGCAATGATACCATGTCTTTTGCCTGGCATCATTGCTTTAAGATAAATTTGGGTAGAAAACAAAACAATAGTATGACAATTTTATCCATTTTTAACAATATTAAATTATATCTTTTTCAGATAAAAACATTTTTGAATTTACAACAAAGAGCTGCAGAAATAATGGCAACAGTTGCCATTTGGGAATCAGAATTAAATGATATTCAAACAGAACTCAGAAAAGTAAATGACGACAAAGCATTTATAAGAAGGAACGCAGGTCCTTTATACAAGTATAAAAACTATCTTATATTTACTTATTAGATTAATTTAATTAAATTTACGTGCAAATCATTTTATGTTGCATCATGTCAAGAATTGTATGATTGTGATGATGCAAAATTATGAAATGAGAAATTGATATAACAGGCGAAGAACTTTCACACCAAAAGTTATTGTGAACCGTGATATAGTGCATCGACCGTCAGCATTAGCCATTGATTCTTGGAGGAATAACATTATTACAACTTGTCCAGGATCGGGACAAGTTGTCATTCTCGATAGAAAGTTCAAACTTGTGCGAAGGATTCGTCACGAGGAAATGATAGCACCTCAAGGAGTTACTTTTTTGCAAATGCACGACGAAATATATGTAACAGGTTTTGATATTTAATCCATATTGAAAAACAGAAAGCATTTGATACAAACACAAAAGTGTAGATAACACATTTAAACAAACTTTATTAGTTTTTATTTTTGTGATATACCTATGTTTTTAAAGCTTCTGCTAATTCAATGCAATTATCTTTAATTATTGAATCTTTTGCTTCAGTAATCAATAAATAAACATATATCTAAAAATTAATTGTATCTAATTAAGAACAAAGCTAATTCTTTTTAAACCCTACTTTAAACTTTTGTCTGAAACATTTTCTTCAAAAATGCTTTGTTTTCGAGTATTATTCGACAGTTTTCAGACTTTTCAAAAACCCTATATTACATATTATACACGTTTTTATATAAGTTTTTAAGTAATTATTTTTAATATTATTGTATTAGTCAAAGAATTTCCTCGCAGTCATTTTGAAACATATAGCAGATCGATCAAAAGTTGTTTAACGATATCCAAACTTTTACCAAGAAGTTTATAGATATAATATATTGTTTATCGGCTAAAGCGATTAGTATATATTATAAAAATATATTATAAAAATAGAGCAAATTTCCGAACCTATATTAAGATTTTTTATTCCTTTTGATGAATTCTAGTCATTACATTAATTCAAACTATTACTCACGAAATTGCTGATATATCCCATCGAATTATTTATATTGGATTCGAATTAATTGGTATTTTTCACAGACAAATGGAAGCACTGCATTTTCGTGTTTAATCACAAAGGAGATCTTGTTCATCGCATAGGCAGTAAAGGTAATGCAGAGTCAGAGCTGTGTTCTCCAGAAGGAATCACGTTTCATCCAGAACGTAGCGTGCTTTACATCGCCGATACTGGTAACAATCGTGTCCAAATTCTTGAGAAGGATGGTACATATTTGAATACCTTGGGTCCCAAGAATAAACGTACAAGAGGCACTGTTACATTCCAATCATATAAAACTGATCCAATTGCGAGTCAGCTGAATCAACCAACGGATGTAGCCGTAACAGTAACGCGTGTTGTCGTTGCTGATTCCGGCAATCACAAAGTAAAGGTGCACTAACTTTTAAAATTGTTGCCTTAATATTTGACTTCAATATTTACCTATTTTATCTTGTTTTCAAAATAAATCATTTGTTTTCTAATTTTTTCTCATTTTTTTTATTCATGAACTGAAATTTATATTAAATTTGCACACTATATTAAAATTTTTAAAACGTCACGAAATATTAAAAAGATTGTACGCGCACGTTCGTGCAATATCTAAACGAAATGTTTACGTTGCGTAATTGTTATTTATTATTATATAATTACTGGCGTACTGTTGTATACTGTTAGTATATAATTACTGCAAATTTCTCAGTGAGTCATTTCTCAGTGAGTATTAAATTTCTACAAGAGATATAATAAACAAAGAAATTCATTTTTTGATTTTAGATATTTAATCATGATGGAGAAATTCTTCAATCGATCGGTGGTATTGGCACAGCAAATGGCTTATTTAGGTTAATATTAATTTATTATTTATTTTTACTAACACCAACTGTACATATATAGTGATTTAGAACAACCACTTGTCTTTAAAATGACATATTTCTTAATACTAAGATAATTTTTCTTTTAAAACTTTTGTTCGAAGCTTAGTTTTTAAATTATAAGAAAGAATAATTTGCTTATACGTAATGAGTATAGAAGACAGGCAGAAGCGGCGAATTAACTGTCCGATGCGAGCAATTACATAAGGCTTGTTACGATCAGCTATTTGCTATACAAATAGTACGGATATATACACGTCCCCTCTCTTTCTCCCCCCTCTCTTCCTCCTCCACTTTCTCTCGTTCTCTCTCTCTCTCTCTCTCTCTCTCTCTCTCTCTCTCTCTCTCTCTCTCTCTCTCTCTCTCTCTCTCTCTCTCTCTCATTCGCATATCGCTTACTCGCTCATTCTATCTTGTATTTATAGTAACTTATAAATGAATAAATAAATAAGTGAATAATGAATGAGTGAGTGGTAAGTGAATGAATAGAGAGAGAGAGAGAGAGAGAGAAAGAGAGAGAGAGATATTAAGAAGGAGTATTCGGCAAACTGTTTCTTCTCATAATTAAAAAATTAAGCTTTAAACAAAATTTTGGTAAAGAAAAAAATCGTCTTAGAATTACTCTGCATATTAGGTATATAAATAAATAAAGTTTTTGAAATCTTTTTTAAATTTAATATTTATCTTTTTGAAATTTAATTATCAAAAATAAAAATTAAAAATTAAAAATTTAATCATCGAAATAATAACAGTTGTCAATCACTTTGTATCATTTATCGGATAATTTTCCATGTTGCGATTTTATTGTATTCCTTGTAAAAGTTGTAGCTTAGACGAGATAAAATCATCACATTATTTCCATATATTCAATTATTCAATGAAAATACAAGTCTTTCAAATTATTTTGATCAAAACATAATTCAACGAATAATATTAGATAAATACGACGAGTGGAAAGAACCTTCCAATACATCAAATGTCAGTAAAATATCTTTAATAGCAATGTGAGCTCTGACATTATCGTGGTGCAATTTGATCTGTTTTGTTCCTTTGCTATATATAACTAATTTTTTTTATTCATTTGTCAAATGAAATATTCGATTACTTTAGTGATTCGCAATGGTAATGATTTTATCTAATGTGCAGCTTATAAAGCAGCACGTATAATCTTTTTGGCATAAATATGGCGATGTGACATTAATGGATTATTAGCTAGAATTATCTATCCATACTTTTTTTGTTTCGAATTAATAATGTTAATAATGTTCTATTATCCATTTTTTATTGTCTGTTATTAAAACAAAACCGAAAATGCATTCTAATGAAGAATACAATTCAATTCTACATAAACGGTTGATTACTGTAATAAAACAAAAAAGATTCAATATATTTCAAAAGCTTTTTCTATTGATTGCAAACGATTATTTTATCAAAAAGTATTTCTATTTTTTATTAAAAAGTATTTATTTCTATTTTAATGTATTTTGTTAGAATTTTCATTATCATCATGTATTTTCTTTCTTCTGTTGTTACAATTCAAGATAGCTGCAGTGAGTCAGTCAAAGCCTTAAATTATTTTAATGTTGCTATAAAGAGAATTTAACAAATTTTTTTATGTAATTAATATTGTTATTAAGATTATAATTTTTACTAGAAAACAGTTTTTAATTTGTAGATCACCTGAAGTATTAAAAATTGATGAGAAAGGATATATCATTGTCGGCGACGCTGAAAATGGAAGAGTGCAGATTTTTACCCCGGAAGGTAAATTCTTACGAATGTTAGGCGCCAAAAAAAAGCAAGGACATAAATTTGCATGGGTATCTGGTTTGCTAGTGACAAATAATTACGATATTTTAGTCTCTGATAGCAAGGCTAATTTTATATATTTATTTTAATTATGTGTTAATTGTATTTAATGTAATTGTATTTAATATTATGTGTTAATGTATTTAATGTAAAAATATTGTATTTAATGTAAAAAAGAGTGCCTTTAACTAATAAAAAAATATATCCTATATTTTATATTAATGACCTTTAGATATGTTATAACATATAAAAATTTATGGTAAATATACCGTTGAGGGGAATCTGCCCCGATGATCTTGATTTTGACATATGTTGTCAAGATTATGACCCTGAACAATATTCAAACGACATTTACGTCGCTCGTTATTCGTTAAAAAGTTATTAACAAATAAAATTTAAAAAATAATTATATATAGTTTTAAATAATCAGCTCCAAATGACTTCCGACTGATCTTGATATTTTTGACTTTTAAAAAGAAGATCATTAGTATTGAAAAAGGTCATTAGTATTTAACATCGCTTCTATTTAAAAAAAAATATTATTAAAAATTGAAAATAGAAAAATAAAACCAATATAAAATGGTACAACATATCATCAGTATTTCACCAGTAAACGAGTTCAGCATCCCCTTAAAAAAAAATATTATTAAGCGGCTAAAATTCTGCCTGCTAAGTGTCACACCCTTATTATTACTTTCTGCAACTTAAAAAAGATATTGCTATTGAATCGATTGACTCGACTTCTATTATTTTTTAAATGTCTAAACAATATTTTCTCAGACTGTTATAAATAATTTTTAAATTCTAAATATGATATTATGATTTAAAAAGTCAATATATCACGGTTCAACGAATAAAAAACAAAATAGAAGAATGTGCAGATCATAGTGTTTGTTTTTCCCAAACCGCATTCCTAATCATAGATCAAATAAATTCGTAGTAGCGCGAAATGTCGTTTCTTGTCTACCCGTTTGACCAATAAATAATTTGGCAAACAAATTGATCCCCAAGGACTATAAACAGATACTTAGAGGCACGCGATCTCGTCGTCTGGTGAATTAAATGTCCTCACAGGAGCACAAGTATAAACTAAATTATTGGACAATAGGAAATCGTTCGATGGCCAGACCCCTACTGTGAGAACCAAAGTGGGCCCCGCGGCGTGAAATCTCTATTATTCCAGGGGTCGAAGAGTGGTTTGAGTACGTTTCAAACCGTTCGACGGACACGCGTGTGCTTGCCAAGGGAGATGCATTGGTGCTGACAGGGGAGCGAGGCAGTCGACTGGTTCTCGCCCCTTGAAAATAATGTAATCGCGAATTAAATGTTTGCTCGGATATCATCGATCTTCGACCGAACTTCTCGTCTGAAGAAAAAAACCAATCAGAAGTGGACGCGACTCCGACAACTGCAATTTTCCAAGATATCTCTATTCTATGAGATAGATTCTATTAGGTAATGTATGTATATAAATTGAAATATATTAATTAATCTTAAAAACAAGTTGTATCATCCCATAATATATTATTGATTTGCTAATTTGTTTTTTATATAATTTTACTTTAATAACCTGTACTGCTGTATTTTTATATTATTTTATTAGTATATTATATAAGTCATGTATAGATCATATAGTTTGTACAAAAAAATTGCAATTTTTCATATGCAAATACATACATTTTTTTTTTAACTATATGTCTTCTTTACACCAATTAATTCTTCTCATTATTCTGTGCACAGAAATATCAACAATGTACTATTAAAAAATAAATATTTTATGAGATATTTTATATTTCATGTCAAAATTATCAGAAT